ATTATTATGTTATACGCTGCACTGAATGATACAATATTTTCAAATATTTCATTTATAAACCAGATTTATACTATTGGTAAGTACGCTATTTGTGACACTGACATTGGTTACTAAATAAGTATTTTGGTAGGTAAAACATCTTCAAATAAAAGAAAAGGCAAGACACACTGACGACAAAAATGACAGACTGATGAGAAGTAGGAATCTAAATACTCGCGGACTACACTTGCAAAATGTGTATGGGAAAATTGGAACACCAATCCAAGATTTCCAGAACATCTTCCTATGATGTTGCCACACACTACACAAAAATGTCATATGACCCACCTTCGCAAACTTTAGCTGTCACAGAGGCATCTTCAGGGGCCAAAACGATGACTGGATTGTCACCACTTGGAATGTTATCAGGAGTCAGTTCCTGTACAAGAATATACCAATGGGAAAAAGTAGGCAATACGTTTCAAATTTCGAGTATACTTCTTTAGTCTACTTGAATTAAGTGTTTAACCATTCATACCACCTACATTTGTTTCTATTTAGGAAATACACCAAGAGCACTTATCCGCATTTTTGCAAAAATAATTAGAAGCACAAATGACAAATGTAACGTATTTCCAATTTTTCTATAAAGATGCATATTTAAATGATAAAACCATATTCAAAGGGTACATTTTCCTGAACTGAGGGCAAAAGCATTCAAGATTTTAACGTTTAGAAATATAGTTTTTTTAAACTCATATTAGCCTTCTTGCAATTTATGTAAAAGATTGTATCACAAACCTCGACGATAAACAGCTCTTGAACATCAGATGGGTTTGGTTGGATTTCTTCATCAGCTTTAGGCACAAAGGTAACGACCACACGGACTTCTCCAGTAGTTTCGACTTCGTACACGTATACGACTGGCTCTTCGGTCTCAACTGCTGGCAGGTCATCTGAAATGTTTGGGGAGTCATTTGAACTGGATTAAAAAGACTTTCAGCTCCTACTATACTTACTTTCAATATGTAACATATGCTAGCTCCTCTCCTGAAGGAAAAAGATTTTATCAAACAAAGAATAGATAGCAAAATAAAATCTTCTTATTTCAGATTATCGTAAATTTCATGAGGCAATGACAGATATCCACTTTCAAAGGGCTAAGTTCACTTTTGTGTTCATTTCTTAGAAGTAAATGTCTGGCATCTTACATTAGCACACTAAACTTTTCAATCACGGTGCAGCTTTGCAATGCAATTTATTTTTAAGGGGTTTGCACATGTTCCTACGTTAAAAACCTAAATCTCGGTCCTTCGTCTGTCCAAGAATATTTTTCTTGGAAGAGAACAATCTAAGACCAAATATATCTACTCACCAATGTCATTCTTCAGTGCACTTGCAACCTCTTCTGGTGAACGATCATCATCTGCAAGCAATCATATACACGTCAGCAAAGAATCTGATAATGAAGGTATTCATCAGACAGATTCAAACATATTTTAAAATTCTGGCCTGCAAACATCTTAATACAACTTTATCCAACCCATTTTATTCTGAAGAATTCACCTTAGAAATGCAAAGAGCAACCCAGCTCATCTGCAACAAGTTCTTGATTGTAAATTGTTTATCTGTTTGAGTTATTCTCATCAACTTCCAAATAATACAAAATGTTGGTGTACAAAAGTCTCAAATTCATTCTAAATATTGGCCTAGGGAAACTAAAGACTATTTCATTCACACGATTGATGACACAATCAACTACAGAAAAACGTGTGCTGTAGAATTATCATTGTGTAAACATTCTTATACCCTTGCACAAACACACAAGTACACACAAACACATTACATCCCTACATTGACAAATACAAACATCTAATGTTTCCTCAAAACATTTCTTACATACCATAAGTATAGACATAGGCAACTTCAGTTGTGCCATCTCCTATGAAAATCTGCAAAAAACATAAAGCGATAATATTGTGGTATGACTCTGGAAAAGGCATTCTTATGTCAATATTTACAACTTTCGATTTTTTAGTTCCTAGAATCCTTTAAAAAAACAACACTTTTGATTGACATCACACCTGTCACCAAGTCACAGATACCAAACACTTTCCGTGTCAGTAAAGCACATACATTTCCACACTGATTAATCTGAAATTGCATAATTTTCTCATTCAAATAATTTGTAATAAACAGAAATCTAGACAAAGCATTGTTTCTTTGTGCACCACGTTAATCACTAATTCAAAATGAAGTATACCAAATAGAATGCTTCACACTAAACAACAAAAGTGGTTCCTTTCAATGTATTCTCTTTAAATAACTCTCAACTATAATGACACGTTTTTCCAGCAGAAAAAGTGTAGCAATAAAATAGCAAATAGGTGTAAGGGCGTTAGCCACTTGTGTACCGACGTGGTGGAATCAGGTGTTCGTCAAAATAACGAAATTGGAGAAATCAACATTAGCTAACTTTTTCTGACTAATTTAAACCCGAACAACATCCCCCCTACCCCCC